TTTTTCTAATTCTGAAAAGAATGTCAGTATTTTTTCACAGGAATTGTGTTGAATCTGTAAATTGCTTTGGATAGTAAGGACATTTCAATATTAATTCTTCCAATCCATGAACATGGGGGAATATTTCATTTTTTTCTTTTTAGTGTCTTCTTCAATTTCTTTCTTTAGTGTTTTATACTTTTGATTGTGGAAATCTTTTGCATCCATGCTTAAATTTATTCCAATATATTCTTTTATTCTTGTAGCTCTGAAGAATGGGATTGCTCTTATAATTTCTGTTAGTAAGTTCTTTATTGGTACATGAAAATGTTACTGATTTTTGTGTGTTGATTTTGTATCCTGCAACTATATTATAGTCTGCTGAGGCCCATAGTCCTAGGATTTTGTGAAATGTCTTGGCACTCACCTACCATTTCTTCTCCCAAGTGGAAAATTATTCTCTCTGTGTTGTGTTGCCTGAGAGTGGGGATAGGAATTGAGTGAGCAGTTCTGTGGCCTTCAGTGCCACAATAGTACCCAGAGCCCACAGCATGCCAAAACCAGAATGGCATGGGGTAGGGCCAAGGCTCAAGTTGCTATGGGCTGCCTCCTGCCAAAGTGGACTTAGGGTTTGGGGCCACTGCAGCCTACCATATATAATGCTGGTCAGGATATAAATATAATCTACTAAGGCCTTGGGTATCCAACTTTGCACTGGGGCAGGTCCAGAGGTTCCTTTTGTAGGCACTGACCTATAGATGGCAACATTAAATCTTCCCAGGGTTGGGTTTTACCAGCCTGACATTGAAGTGTAAGACGCGCTCCTGTGCTACTCCTCACTAGCTGGAGTCATGCTCTTCGCTGTCTGTCCAAGGTTGGGTGAGGGTTGCCACAAGGGTATAGGTCTTCATCTTATGCTGGGCTGGTATAGAGGCTCCTTCTGAGAGGGGATGGGTGGTGGAGGCAGTGCTTGGTTGCCCAGACTGATACTCAGTGTGATACCTGGATCTTGCCATCACCAGGCCCTGAGCAGTCTTGGAACTGTGGTACAGGCTCAAACAAGTCCCTCTCACCTGAGTGCAGGTCTCTAGCTGATGCTGGGCAGATCTAGAATCTTCCTTTGTAAGCACTGTCCTGGGGATACAGGCCTTTGAGCATTAGGTAGTGCTGAGTCTCATTGCAGCAGGACTGGCACTGAGGTTCAAGGCAGTGTCCTGCGCTCACTTTCTGCTGAACTCACAGCAGGCAGAGTCTTGCTCTGCTGTCTGCTGGAAGTTGGGGGGAAGGGGTGGTTACTGTGGTCTCTTGTCCACCTGCTTAAAGAGGGTTCAGAGACTTAGTCTGTGTACTCCTTGGAGCTGATATAGGAGTGACACATGTAACTCTTTCTTCCTTCCTTCTTCAGTATGTCTTTGCTTATTATTGTAACAAACTGTGGTCTCTAGCCCTTGTCTCTGTGAAAGTAGCTCGGTGTGTGAATAGTGTCTTCTTCAACTGCCATCTTGCACCACTTCTTCTCTCTCTCTCTCTCTCTCTCTCTCCCCTGAAACCAGTTTTCTAGTTATTTCCAGTGGGATGATACATTCTGTCCCAGTTACCCTGTCATGACCTGAAGCAGAAGTATGACGTATCTTTTAAAAAATGCTTTTTATTGTCAACTATTTATCTCTAATAATAAATGTCATATGGATTTATCTAAAAAATTTAAATTGAGAATGTCCTTCTATTAACTGCTAAGTTTAATCTGCTTGTATTTATTTATATTACTATCATATTTAGACTTATTATTACCCAGTCATTTAATGTTTTCTATTTACCGTGATATTATGCTTCTTTCTATTCTGTCCTATGTGCTTTTGTTCTTTATACACTTTCTACTCCAATGCTCACTGACTTTGAAGTTCTTATTCCTTATTATTTTAGAAGTTAAAATTTTAATAAACATATTTGTAGCAAAATTCTATCACTGATACCTCCAACACTCTTTCTAAATAATACAGGGACCAAGACTATTTGAATAACGAGCACAGCACTCTGTTGTATACTGTTTTAGTTCTACCTTGTTTTTTTATGTCACCCACAAATGCATCCTAATGTGTTCCAGTCAGTGCTGATCTGTATCTATCCATATGTTTATACAGTCTTTGCTCGTCATTGCTTCCTGCATTCTGTTTCTTCCCTCTAATTCAGTTTCCTTTCCTCAAATTACTTCCTTTTAGCAAAGATCTGTGAATTAATATTCTCAATCTCTCTCTGAAAATCAGTTTATTTAACCTCTGAAAATGAGTTTACTTATGGTTTTGCTGAGTAAAGAACTCTAGGTTAGAAGTTAATTTTTTGTTGGTACCATTGCAGTATTTTTTTGTCATTTTTTTGGTTGAAAGTCTGTTTTCATTATAGTTATTTATAAATCTGTCTTTTGTCATTTGTTCACTTTACAATCCATTCTTCCCCCTTTGTTTTCAGTTTCACTATTTTAATCTAGGTATTGACTTGCTTTTCTGGTTTTGGTTTTATGCTCCTTTTCATAGCTGTCATGCTTTTTATCAGTTATAAAAAATTTTCAGATATTATTTATTTAACTACTGCTGCTTCCAAATTCATTCTATCTCCCTCAACTCTTATACTTTTGGAATCTTCTCCTTCTGGTTCCCATGTTTTATTAATCATTTTCTCATAGTTTCTATGTGTTATTATTAGTCTTCCTTTTTAAAAAAGATTTTATTTATTTATTTGAGAGGTAGAGTTACAGAAAGAGAGAGGGAGTGGCAGAGAGAAAGGTTTTCCATCCACTAGTTCACCCCCCAAATGGCTGCAGGCCCATCCAAAGCCCAGAGCCAGGAGCTTCTTCTGGGTCTCCCACACGGGTGCAGGGGCCCAAATATTTGAGCCATCCTTCAGTGCTTTCCCAGGCTATAGCAGAGAGCTGCATCAGAAGAGGAGCAGCCAGGACATGAATGGGCACCAGCGCCACAGGTAGAGGCTTAGCCTATTAGGCCACAGCGCCAGCCCTATGATTAATCTTCTAGTTTATTCTTCCTCTGTTTAGTTTTATTAGTATATTCTTTGATATGTTGTGTTTTTAATTCCAATGACTACTTTTCTTTCCAGAAGTTATATTCAATTCTTTTTTAAATCAATGTGGTTTTATTTATGTGTGTGTGTGGATCTTATCCTTTTTGTCTTGAAATTGCTTCTACGTTAATCTGTTTTTCTTTGCTATAATAAAATACTTAAGACTTCATATATTTTTTGACAGGCAGAGTTAGACAGTGAGAGAGAGAGAGAGACAGAGAGAAAGGTCTTCCTTCCGTTGGTTCACCCCCTAAATGGCTGCTACGGCTGGTGCACTGCGCCGATCTGAACCAGGAGCCAGGTGCTTCCTCCTGGTTTCCCCTGCGGGTGCAGGGCCCAAGCACTCGGGCCATTCTCCACTGCCCTCCTGGGCCACAGCAGAGAGTTGGACTGGAAGAGGAACAACCGGGACAGAATCCGGTGCCCCAACCAGGACTAGAACCTGGTGTGCCAGTGCCACAGGCTGAGGATTAGCCTGTTAAGCCACGGTGCCGGCCTAGAGTAATCATTTCAAAACACAAACATCATCAAATCACCTCCCTATTTAAAATCTTTTAGTGGGTTTTCATGGAAAACCCAACAAAATAAAGATCAAAATTTTAACATGCATTACTAGGCTTTGTCCTGTACGTTTTCTGTATCTTTGCAACTGTATCTCATATCATTTTTTTCTTCACATTCTAGGCTCCAGACACACTAGCCTTCTCTCAGTGATTAAAGCATGTCGTTCTTCTTGTTGCCACAGTGCCTTTGTGTATAGTATTCTTCCCACTTGAAAAGCTCCCTCCTCAGCACAGTTCATCTCTACTTACTGTTCACTTCTTGGCTCAAGTATGCTTTACTCAAGAAAGTCTTTCCTGACTTCCTGGACTCTCTCAGTCTAGGTCAATTTCCTTTTTTATATACTCTTCCTCCAAAAATATTTTCTTAATATTTGTTTATGTTCATCTGCTTCTTGATTTGATTGATACATGACTTCCCTAGTAGTCTGGAGATTTCATGAGATCAGAGACCATTTTGCTTACCATTAAATATATGTTGAGGCACAGAGACTAGAACATAGAATATATGCAAGAAATATTGGACAGGTGGGTAGATGGATGGGTGGATGGATGGATAGAAGGTTGGTATGAAACAGTAAAAAGATGAGTGAGGAAGAAAGAGAAGGAAAGGCAGAGAAAGGTAGGACTGAATTGCCGCCAAATAATTTCCACTAACAGCAATTTTTAGTGCTTTATACTTGTAAAAGCACCTAAATGTCTTTGTCTCTCCGTTCTGTTATCTTCACATTATAGCAAACAAATACTTCTCTGTAGGTGGCAGTGCGCTTACATATGACATTTTTCTTGAAAAGGGGAGGAGTGGAGTCACCTTTAACATTTGAAAACATTTGTGTAGCTTGAGTCTCATGGTTTTTTAAAACGCTTATATTTCTCATGACTGTATGCGTGTTTAATTTATACTTGTTCAGAGTTTTTTCTCTCTTAGCGTATTAATGAAGTGCTAGAGAATTTATGGATCTCATCTTATGATATTATGATTGATATCAACATACCAATCAAAAATTGAAAAAGAAATGTTGTGAACAAAACAGTGGCTAGCATTTCTCTTTAGCAACAACAGCAACATTTGTATTATAGAATCATTGAAATTGTAGCAAGTATAGATAGAATTTTAAACTAAACGTATTTGAAATAGGAAAAAGTTTTTTCCTACATACATTTAAAAGAATGATCATTTGACTACCCTACTACTCATTAATTTTATTGAAATAAATTTGAGGCTGGAATTTATCTTTCCCAGAGTGTTTTGAGCCACCTGTACCATCTAAAGCTTCTAACAGTCTAAGTATATTCTCATTAAGATTTACCCTACTTTTTTTTTTTTCCACGTTGTGGTTTATTTCAAGTTTTTAAATACATGTCCATAAAATCTCGTCCTTGCAGCACCTAAATGCAGAAAGATCTTACAAGTCCCAGATTTCAACCTTACACAAGTCAGTCGTAAAGATGGAAGAGGAGCTTCAGAAAGTTCAGTTTGAAAAAGTATCTGCCCTTGCAGATTTGTCTTCCACAAGGGAACTCTGTATTAAACTTGACTCTAGCAAAGAACTTCTGAATCGACAGCTGGTTGCTAAAGACCAAGAAATAGAAATGGTATGTAAAATATTTTTAAAAAGTCTTTTAAAATGGCTATTTCTATAAAGTTACTATAATTTTAGAGAAAAGTTCCTTTTTAAAATAAAATATTGCATCAAGTCATGTATTTCAACTTTAGATTTTATTTTTTAAGTCCAAAAATTAATTTATGACAGCTATCTTTCAAGCAACCCAAAAATATAACAGGAAGTTTTCCTCTGAACATGTAATGCTTACATTTACTTTCAGCCAGAATAATTATAGGAAACATTGACATCACAATCAGCAAAGAACCGTGAATTTGAGGTTAATTCAGCTGGTTTATAACCTTAGTGACATTCTTTTTTTGTAAGATTTATATTTTGTTTATTTGAAAGGCAGAGTTAGAGAGAGAGAGAAAGAGAGTAAGTCTTCATCTGCTGTTTCACTCCCTAAATGGCCACAGAGGCCAAGGCTGGGCCAGGCTGAAGTAGGAGCCAAGTTAAAACAGGAGCTGGGAGATTCTTCCAGGTCTTCCATGTGGGTGCAGGGGACCAATCACTTGGGCCATCCTCTCTGCTTTCCCAGGTACATTAGCAGGGAGCTGGATCAGAAGTGAAGCAGCTGGGACTCAAACCAGCGCCCATATGGAAGACTGTGCTACAAGTGGCAGTGTATCCTGCTATGCCACAGCACGGCCCCATTTTTAATTTGAAAGTGTTACAGAGAGAGGTACAGCCAGAGAGAGAGAGGTCTTCCATCTGTTGGTTCATTCCTCAAGTGACTGCAACAGCCAGAGCTGAACCGATCCAAAGCCAGGAGCCTAGAGCTTCTTCTGGGTCTCCCACGTGGGTGCAGGGGCCCAAGGATTTCTGCCATCTTCCACTGCCTTCCTAGGCCACAGCAGAGCTGAATCAGAAGTGGGGCATCTGGGACTAGAACCAATGCCTATATGGGATGCTGGTGCTGCAGGCCAGGGCTTTAACCCACTGTGCCACAGAGCCAGCCCCTGGTATTCTTTTAAAAGCTAGCTTTAGTTACAAACTGGCTGAGTTCTTTTCAGCTGTAATTCAATTGATTATATCTACTTTGTGCCTGACTTAGTATTCGCAAAGATACAGGCTGCTGTCCTCAAGGATCTCTCAGCATTGACATACAAATATTTAGAGATGAATGTTCTAGTAACAAGAGATACTTAAGGTTTTATAGAAGAAATTTCTGTTCAGTTTAGGGGTATCAGGGAGAAGGTCTCAAAGAGGTACTACTGAACTCTAGGCATGAGGCATCCTATTCAAGGGGAACAGCAATTTAGGCATACATGGATATGTGTGTGGATTCTTGAGTGAATGATAAGTAATTTATAATGGCAACTGTGGCATGCATGGGAGAACATGGCTAGAGAGGTGGATATACATACAGTGTAATTAAAATATCAGAAAATTTTGATATTATTTAGTTTTCTGTTGTTACCAAACCTTATCAGATTTCTAATTTTGTTAGTCTATTGTTTGATGATGCATTTGAGAATAACATGTCTGGCTTGTTTCTGTAAGATTCCATGATTAATGTTTTAATGACGTGGTATATGCCAAATTTCTCAGATCCTTCCTTGAATTATTTTTTATTTCAGTAAGAATGTTTTAGTGATGTAAGTGACTCATTAAAAATGTTCACTCTAAAAACCAAACAATATTTCCTTGTTTTTTACTTGATGTTTTCAAATTAGTAAAGTATCACATGTTGTTATAATAACTAAAGCAATATAAAGGTGTAATACCATAAGCTATCATACCAAAGCTGGTACAGACAATACACTATGACCAAGTAGGGTATATTCTAATAATATTCTTAAGGTTTTAAAGTCATTGTCTTTAACATAACTATATATAAAGCTTGACAATTTATACTAATTTTAAAAGTTTGAAATTTTTTTACTCCATGTTTCATAGTTTATTTATTTCCATAGTACTTCAAAATATTCCTTATATTAATCCTTTCTTGTCTTGGAATTTAGTTATTTGTGTATATGTTTTTATATCCTCAATTAGCTGCAATCTTAGGTGCTAGAACCATCCTATTTACTTTTCTGTTTCTTTAGCTTTACTATATGCATATGGGAAGCACTCATTTTTTTCTGAATTAAACTTTTGACTTCAAGATAATGGTAGATTTGCATCCTATTTAAGAAATAAAACAGATACATCTTGTGTAGCCTTTACTTGGTTCCCACTGATGGTGATACAGTCTAACACCAAAACCAGGATAGGAACATTGATGCGAGTAAGATGTACAACATCATTAATCTATTCTCCAATTCTGTAATTTTGTCAGTTCAAGGGTGTTATATAAATGGAATCATACAATATGTAACCCTTTGGGATTGGATTTTTTTTTTCACTCAACATAATTCTCTAGAGATCCATCCAGGTTGTTTTCTCTGACATAGTCCATTCCTTTTTATTGCTGAGTAGTAGTGCTCCATGCTATTTGTGTAATACAGTTTGTTTAACCATTCACCCTTTGAAGAACATCTGTGTGTTTGTTTTTTTTTTCAGTTTTGTAGCATAACCAATGAGGGTACTGTTAACACTTGTGTACAGGTTTTTGCATGAGTTTAGGTCTTCAGTTCTCTGTAGATGCCTAGGAGCATGGTTTTGGTATCATGTGTCAGTTTCATGATTAGTTTTTCTAGGAAGTGCATAACTGTTTTCCTGAGTGTCTATACCAATTTGCATTCCCACCAACAATATGTGAGTAATCGAGTTTTTCGAGATTCTTGCCAGCATTTGGTGTTCTGTTTTTTTATTTTAACCATTCTCATATGGGTGTAGTGCTAATCATGATGGTTTTAATATACATTTTCCTAATGACTATTGATGCTGAAATTCTTTTTTTGTGGTTTTTACCAATTGTAAATCTTTGGTGAAATGTCTCCTTATGTATTTTGTTCATGTTCTCATTGGATTGTTTGCTTCTTTAACATTTTCACTATAGAGTTCTTTATTCTCGATACCAGTCCTTTATTAGATTCGTGGTTTGAAAATATATCTTCTCACTTTTGTAGCTTATAGCTTCTCTTCTTTTAACAAGATCTTTCTCAGATCAGAAGTTTCAAATTTTGATTAATTCTAATATATTAATTTTTCTTTTATGGATCATACTTTTAGCTGTAATTCTTTTTTTAAGATATTTATTTATTTATATGCAAGGCAAAGTTACAGTGAGAGAGTTACAGAGAGAGAGAGTTACAGAGTTAAAGAGAGAGAGACCTTTTCATCTACTGGTTCACTCCCCAAATGGCCACAATGGCCAGAGCTGGGCCAGGCCAAAGCCAGGAGCCAGGAACTTTATTCCGGTCTCTCACATGGATGCAGGAGGCCAAGCACTGGGCATTCTTCCAGTGCTTTTCCCAGGTGCCTGAGCCCAGAGCTGCATGGGAAGTGGAGGCTCCGGAACACTAATTGACACCCATATGGGATGCTGGCATTGTGGGTAGTAGCTTTACCTGCTGTGTCACAATGCTGGCCCCTATAGTTCTATTTTTATTCCATCATTCCTTTTGAGTTAATTTCTTCATAAGGAGTGAGGTTTAGGCCAAAGTTCTTTTTTTTTTTTTTTTTTTTGCCTTTGGTTATCCATTTGCTCAGATACCACTTATTGAAAAAGCTATCTTTCTATCTTTAAATTGATTTTTTTTTTTTGGACAGGCAGAGTGGACAGTGAGAGAAAGGTCTTCCTTTGCCATTGGTTCACCCTCCAATGGCCGCCGCGGCCGGTGCGCTGTTGCCGGCGCACTGCGCTGATCCGAAGCCGCGAGCCAGGTGCTTCTCCTGGTCTCCCATGGGGTGCAGGGCCCAAGCACTTGGGCTGTCCTCCACTGCACTCCCGGGCCATAGCAGAGAGCTGGCTTGGAAGAGGGGCAACCAGGACAGAATCCGGTGCCCCGACCGGGACTAGAACCCGGTGTGCTGGTGCCGCTAGGCGGAGGATTAGCCTAGTGAGCCGCGCGCCGGCCGAGGTTTTTAAAATAAGAATTGCATTAAACCTGTGAAACAATGTGGAGAGACTTGACATATTTACCATGTTGAGGTTTCTAATCCATGAATAAGTTGTATTTTATTTAGATTTTCATTTTCTTTTTTAAAAAGATGTATTCATTCATTTGAAAGGCAGAGTTACAGAGGCAGAGGCAGAGAGATAAAGAGATTTTCCACCCTCTGATTCACTCCCCAAATGGCTGCAGCAGCTGGAGCTGGGCCAATCTGAAGTCAGGAGCCAGGAGCTTCTTCCCAGTCTCCCACATGGGTGCAGGGGCCAAAGGACTTGGGCCGTCTTCTGCTGCTTTCCCAGGCCATAGCAGAGAGCTGGATAAGAAGTGGAACAGCTGGATCTCAACCCAGTGCCCATATGGGATGCCGGCACTGCAAATGGTAGCTTTACCTACTGTGTTAGAGCGCCAGCCTCTTATTTAGATTTTCTTTGAGTTCTTGTATTTTAGGTTTTTTGTTTGTTTGTTTTTGGTGTTTTGTGTTTTTTTTTTTTTTTTTTTTGTTGTTGTTGTTTTTTGACAGGCAGAGACAGACAGTGAGAGAGAGACAGACAGGGAGAAAGGTCTTCCTTCCATTGGTTCACCCCCTCAAATGGCCACTACGGCCGGCGCATTGTGCCGATCTGAAGCCAGGAGCCAAGTGCTTCCTCCTGGTCTCCCCTGCAGGTGCAGGGCCCAAGCACTTAGGCCATCCTCCATTGCCTTCCTGGGCCACAGCAGAGAGCTGGACTGGAAGAGGAGCAACCGGGACAGAACCGGCGCCCCATCCAGGACTAGAACCCGGAGTGCTGGTGCCGCAGATGGAGGATTAGCCTAGTGAGCTGCGGTGCCAGCCAAGTTCTTGTATTAACCTTGTATAACTTTCAGCATGCAAGTTCTGTACTTGTTTTATGAAATTTACACCAACAAAATGCAAAGTATCTCTTCTTTTTTGAGTTATTTTAAATGGTATTCTAGCTTTAATCCTACTGTCAGTGTGTTCATTGCCAGA